TCCACCCAATCTCCCTTCCTTATCTTATATCTTATATCTTTTAACGACGTTTCTCCCACATCTACCAGAAGTTTCATTTTATTGAATAATCTCTTTTTACTTACAGGAACCAATCGACTGCCATGAGAAGCCCAATATTTTCCAATGGGAGGTTGACGGCTTGCAGGACAATAATGGTCGTTACGTTTCCTGCTGACGGTATACCTGCTGCACCTATAGAAACGGCTGTAGCGGTGACACTAAAAGATTTTTAAAAACAAAAACCATTATCTCAGATGACTTAGGACCACAGGGCAGCAAAAGGTCTACACGTTTCCAAAGTGTTCTTGGTTCTCAAAAGCAAAAGGTCCACCCATTTTATTACTTAAGTGTCTTGGGTCTCCCCTGGGGACAGCAAAATGTCTGCCCATCTTCTTGGGTCTATGGAACAGCAAAATGTCTACACATTTCCAAAGTGTTCTTGGTTCTCGAAAGCAAAAGGTCCACCCATTTTATTACTTAAGTGTCTTGGGTCTCCCCTGGAGGCAGCAAAAGGTCTACCCATCTTCTTGGGTCAATAGAACAGCAAAATGTCTACACATTTTCCAAAGTGTTCTTGGTTCTCGAAAGCAAAAGGTCCACCCATTTTATTACTTAAGTGTCTTGGGTCTCCCCTGGGGGTAGCAAAAGGTCTACCCATTTTATTACTTAAGGGTCTTGGGTCTCCACTGGGGGCAGCAAAAGGTCTACCCATTTTATTACTTAAGGGTCTTGGGTCTCCCCTGGGGGTAGCAAAAGGTTCACCCATTTTATTACTTAAGGGTCTTGGGTCTCCCCTGGGGGCAGCAAAAGGTCTACCCATTTTATTACTTAAGGGTCTTGGGTCTCCCCTGGGGGCAGCAAAAGGTCTACCCATTTTATTACTTAAGGGTCTTGGGCCCCCTGGGGACAGTAAAAGGTCTACCCATCTTCTTGGGACTATGGAACAGCAAAGGTCTACACATCTCCCAAGAGGTCTTGGTTCTCGATAGCAAAAGGTCCACCTATTTCTATTACTCAAGTGTCTTGGGCCCCCTGGGGACAGTAAAAGGTCTACCCATCTTCTTGAGTGTCTTCCGTCCATAGACAGTAAAGGTCAACCCATCCTCTTGGGTTTCTTGGGTCCAGGGGAAAGTAAAAGCTACACACATCTCTTTGGATGTCTTGAGTTCATGGGGACAGCAAAAGATCTACCCATCCCCTTGGGTATCTTGGTACGCTTGGTTTGCAGTATTATTGTAAGGTTTTTTACTTACCATGTTGCTACAAACATTGCAGGCGATAACTCTATATTACTAAGCTGAGCTATGAAAATGGCTGATATGGCCTCGTACAAAGCTCCCCCGTCCATATTAATGGTGGCGCCCAGTGGAAGAACAAACTTGCTGATTCGAGAATCGATCTTGTTATTCTCTTCCACGCAACGGATTGTAGTTGGAAGAGTTGCAGAGCTAAAAAATATATATTATCAGAATGCAGAAATTGAATTTCATTCCMCACTAAGATTTTGGCCCTTGTTTACTTCAATAAGTGAAAGCCTTGTGTTGTCTCTGAAGCCCAGTTATCCTGGTTGTTTGACATTAGTCTTCCGACACAATACATCGTTTTCCTGGTAACTGGAAGTTAGATGGTGACACGGTAACTGGACTTAGAGAGAGAGTTAAATGTTGTCATAGCGACTGAAAGTAGGTCAATGTTGTCCAACGTGGACATTTGAGCCTTCCTTTTTTGCACCTACTACCCATTGCCTAAAAACGTCTATTCAATGACTTGAAGCCATGACAACGTCCGAAGKGCTACCATGGTAACATTATTTTGCGTGACGACACTAATAGTGGCTGCGTAGGAGATTATCCATGTCCATACCTGGAGCTGATTCCGAATGCTGTTAACAAGGCGTCCCTCATGCCAGCGATGAAATGATAAGGATTCTTCCTGGTGACGACCAGGTACATGAGTGGTAGAACTATCATCCCGTGGATGGTCAGCCCGCTGAGTACGGTAACTATGAACAGTGCTAACATGTTAAGAGCCTTAGGAATATCATCCATGGCAGCTACGCGAGTGGCTATAAGACTACAAATACCAATAGGAGCGTACCTGTTGGTTGGAAAGTAATTAAAAACCATCAAATACTTGAATATAATAAAAAAACCTCTGATTTTTGATACCGAACAGGAGCTATTATTAGGGGGAAGAGGGAAAGGGGATGAAGCGACAATCCCTTTCAACGAATCACGTGACTAGTAATCGGCTAGAGATAAGAAGATCGTTTGAAATGAGGTATGGCACCCTGTCCTGTCCAATTAAGAGCCAGCCCCTAATGTCCAGCCTTTGTGCAGACCCAACTTAACTTAACGGGCAGTAAAATTTGGTCTGCACACAGGCTTACTTTAATCGTATTCTGATAGTAACATCTATTTTAAAAAAACTTTCGGGAATCTTCGTTTCTCACTCTCGAAGCAATATAATTTTTAAAATATATTGATGGTTTTTACAACCTTTTCCGATAGGAGAGGTAAAAGACAAGGATGTCTTCGTGGCGGCCATGTTAGTGGTTAAAACAAATGAAGGTAATGAGAACTCTTTTGTCAAATACCTCCAATATGGTGCCATATTAGTGTAGCGTGAAGCGAATAAGAAATGCGGTCCTGTTTTTGGGCGAAGTAAAAAGCATTCCCCTTTCTTACCACATGATAATAAAGACAATTTTCATGACAATGTCATTTAGAATCTTGAAAAAATCTTTCATCACTTGTCCTTTCTCTCCCATTTCCCCCAAAACGTATCCAAATATAATGGAAAAGAAGGCGATTCCAAGTACATTCATTCCCGGTGTCATTCGGGTACCGCTCGGAATGGTCTTAGATGCTGGATAGACAAGACGACTGATGGTCGTGATATTGTGAGTACCATTACTAAATATGGTTATGGTCTCGTTGATTGGTAGTTTGGATACGTCTACCGTGTTGTTGTACTTGTCGTACTTGGCTTGTACTGATGTGTAAGCCGTCTTTTTCTGTCGAAACAAACAGATATTATCAATTTTATCAAACCCCAAAACAACTTTGGGCAGATCAAAGTCAGGGCTCGGCTAACACACAGGTCGAATCCTGAAACAACCTCTGGGCTGATCTATGTCAGGGCATGGCTAACTCACAGATCGAACCCTGAAACAACCTCTGGGCTGATCAAAGTCAGGGTACGGCTAACTCACAGATCGAACCCTGCATAAACAACCTCTGGGATGATCTATGTCAGGGCATGGCTAACTCACAGATCGAACCCTGAAACAACCTCTGGGCTGATATAAGTCACGGCACGGCTAACTGATTGCTTGAATTGAACAACAATAAGCAACGCCCTACCCCTCCCCCAGTTCAATTTTCCTCCTGTCGTAATGAAGACCCAATATTCCCCTTCACAGTTCCCTGCGCCATCTTGAAAGGTAGCCGTACCTTTGCATCCAAGCGAGACGAACGGTGAGCGTGCAATGATAGAGACCTTCTTTAACACCTTGAACAATTATTCACGTCTCTATCATTGCAAGCTCACCGTTCGTCTTGTTTCCATGCAAAGGTACGGCTACATTTCAAGATGGCGCAGGGAACTGTGAAGGGGGCTATTCGAACCATATATGCTTATGCACGGGTCCATAAAGTTCGACACTATTAATATTTAAGCTAAAGTCGAGGGTCAAAAATACCCAAAATTTACCTGGCGTAATGTAGCCTCGACAAGATTACTTGGAAAGAGACCCCTGGAAATAGGTGAACAAATATCAATACAAAGAAATCTTAAAATAATAATTTTAAAACAGTGAATACTATATAGTTAATCGCCACCTGGCTGGCTAACTTGGTCTCGGAAGGTGCTGTCATTGTAATTTCATCTACAAAAGGTTAGACTTTCACGTGCCTCGGCACATAAGAGAACCACTGAGGACGTAAAGGAAACTTGTCAGTCACGAGTACTCCCCTATAATGGAACTTTGCTTTGTGGGTTAAGTAATTTCCTGCCCCAAGTGGCGAACTTTATATATTATGTCTACCTAAATTGATCTGCCAAGTCAACGCTCAGCAAATACTCTATTTCCTCTGTTTCGCCACCTTGGGGCTTTATCTATTTCAGTGCTTTTGGACTGGGGCGCATTAGAGGGGAGGGCTTATCTGGGGTGTGAGCTTATTAGAGAGTTTTAGATTGACTTTTTTTTCTCCCCGCAAACGGCAAACGTGACCACGTTTTCATAGTTTTCCTGTATTTTACTTTACTATTTACAAACCTTCTCACCAAGCGCAAATATTCTTTTGTTTTTCTACTACTTGCACTTTTTTGCGATTCTTTTTCAGTAATTTAAAAGAATTTTTTACTGGTCAACTGACGTTTCACGTTTGCCGTGAACGTAAATCTAAAACTCTCTATTTACCGTTTTTGTACCTCTTACCTGAGCATCAGGCTCTCTTACTCGCTATCTATATTTTACTTGTTAATTTATCATCTATTTTGTTATTGAAAACTATAAAGTATATATCATGAGTGCAAATAAAGAAACTTTAGGAATCTAATTCAAAACCACCAAATTTTGAAGTCGTGTAAATACGTGCTGTAAATAGAATCTCAGCTTAGAATACATTGTTATGAGAGGACGAGCCATTTGGCTCTTTCTGGAATCTYGTACTTAATTGTGAAAAAAAGGCCGAGGTTGTATTTCGGGTTGTCATGACTTGAAGGTGAAGACCTAAGTAAGGGCAATGGAAGAGTAAGGAATTCCTACTGACGGCCACACAAACTAAGGAAAGTCTAGCAAACCTGTGGCTCTGCCTTAGTTGTACTTAGTTGTAAAAAACAAGGATCAATTATAACAAGTCGATCCGGAGGTCCAGACTGGATCTGTTGCGTACTGTAACATTACACTGCTGTCTGTACCGAGTTTGAGCTGTAAACTGACATACCCCGGCATCCACGTGAACTTGACAAAAATTGCACGACACAAAACAGGGACATACTGGAAGTTATGTAAAATATTCACAAGATATGTTGTGCTACAGTGGTGCACAGTAGCCAACACTCGCTCATTCGTCTTTTTTCTCAGGAAGAGAGGGAGAACTTACGTTGTTTTCATATGAAGTCAAAGCTGCCATTTTGGACAAATTTATGGAAAGATATCATGTCTTTGATATTTTTATTCTCCTGAGATCGAAGAAGAAAAAGCATAGTTTTTTTTCGAGTCCCTAGCCCTTTTTCTTTTTACTTAAATCTTCCCATATCCTCAAAAGGGTTTTGCGAATGTCATTAAATAGAATAACCGATTGTTATAAAATACAGTGAAGATATTGGAGCATCTATCCATTGGATGCATTTTACAAGCTTCTGGATCAGTGACTAAATCCATTCTTTACCACGCAAGAATAAGGGATTATGTAATGTTTAATAAACCCCACCATGTAGAATTAATGAATGAATTAATAGAACTATGATGGATATTTTAAGCTGGCAAGATAGAATATTACATGAACGAATGATGTGTTTTGGAAAAGAAAGAAAAAAGACTACGAACGGCAAATTCTCAGTCGTCTTGGAAGCCGTGAAAAACGAAGGGCGGTGTATAGAATAATTAATCAGGATCTAACAGTTACTTCAGTATTGACCTCAATAATCCTAAAAATCCGGACTTTTCTGAAAACGTTTGGATTAAAAAAACAAGCTAATAAAAGACTTGTCTAAAGATTTTCATAGGAAAGAAATGGCGAAAACAATATATTATATCGATGTAATATTTCCGATTATTATACAACCCGGGTATAAATATCTATCAATATTCAATGATTATCAAACGACAACCAGACGATTTAATTACCTTAATAAGTCTAGAAACGAATCCAGAATCCTATACGGCGTAGAAGTGGTTTTCTCTCCATCAGGTCGGTCTGTTTTCCCTGGTTGAATGATTGAAACTAAAGCCATACCAAGGACAGCAGCAGAAAGGGTTGTCGTCAAGTAAAACAGCATTGCTCTTCGGCCAACTTTTCCCGAAGCTGTAGAATCTAACGCCGCTAAAGCAGTGATCAGACTAGCGACAATTAAGGGCAGAATTACCATTTGTAGCATGCTCATGAGCAACTCACCGGGGAAACCTATGAGCATGATWGTAGTTTGGCGTTCTTCAGGGTCAACGATTGCATTTACAGGAGCGTTTACTAACGCTCCTATCAAAAATCCTAGAGCTGCACCAATGATTATAAGAATTAGGAGTAAATCTTTTTTCATTCGTTGATAGAGTCGACTACAGCTACACCACTTCGCACAAAAGGTTTCATTCTGGAAACTTATCGCCATTCTTGCAACTTTGCTACTAATCTTTCAATTATCTGTGCCAAAAGTTTATGGTGTCCACAAGCGAGTTCATGGAGCTAAATTAATAAACACACAACAAAAGCGTTAATTAAAATGCATGACATTCCATGAATAATAAAGCAATACTCCATTCAGTGACCAAGAATAATAGTTCCTAGCTAGCCGAGACTGGAGCTACCGCGCAAGATAAACTGTAGTTTTGCTATGCGCGGAAACTCCAGCCTCGGCTRGGAACTATACTAGATAGGTTAAATAGGCGAATTTATTATAACATAATAGAAATTACTATAAAGCAACAATTATAGCCTTCATACGTGTATTCGGGTAAAATGTCTATGTAAATTCTAATACTCGATACCGAATAAAAAAGTCTGTCTGTCTGTCTTTTGCCAACCAGAAATTAGTGCAATCCAACAAAACACATCACACTGGGAGAAAGGCAAGTAAATAAAAATAACATCCACCCAATTAATGTATTTGCATGAAAATTAGGTTATATTCTCCAAAGGAGACAACTTTTTTGTTTTGCCATGCAGTGCCTATGAAAACCTTAATAAACATTCTGGAATAGTGAGTATGATAATGATAATAATGCAGGTTTGTAAGCATTATAAGGGAAATGCTCCCCATTGTGCTTTAAATTACTCTTACAGTGCGGCTCAATTATATAGATGCMAGCAAGTAGTAGACTGCTGGTTGGATTTGTAATGAACGATATCATTATTGGATGAGGTATAGCTTCGGCCAATAATACTTTAATACTTTGACATTACAGTTAAACCACCTTATGCATGAACACGTTGAGGTCRTTAATGACTATACTTTTGGATTCTTGATTTCAGTATTAGATTCTAACATTCATTATTGAATTTTGTATTCAAAAAATAATAGTTTGAAAATTTGATTAACTTGGCTCGTGGGCTCTTATTTATAGCAGAAACAGAAGATAAGTCATTAATATTACATATTTCTTGCACAAAAAGTTGCTCTTTCATTTCAGTTGCATATATGATTGGCTTTTGTATATGCTAGGCTTTGAAAATTCGTTTTCAATTATAAATGTTCTAATCGAATAATGAAATCAAGAATCCAAAAATAAAGTTATTAATGACCTCTACATGTTCAAGCTCGAGGTGGCTTTACTTTAATAATTCTGGATATTATCAAAACAGGATTCAATAAATGTTTTATTGTTCAATAAATGTAACTGAGCAGTGAATATTTAGCAATTATTCGCCGAAGGCAAAATGAATATCAGGGAATATTTACCAAGACRCGAGTCTTCATTTAAATCAGATTCCATAAAATGAAATAAAAGATATAACTCTTTATTATTTTTTATTTCATTAATATTTATAGCCTGCCTCACATCCGGAATTTTTTTCATATTATGAAGAAAATTCCAGATGTGACGCAGGCTATAATATTTACTCAATAAACCATGTCATGACACAAAAACAAAAACACACACACACAAAAAAAAACAAGCATTTCCAAATGAGATTACCGTTAAAAAGACATCATTTTCACCACCATTTTGTCCTTGGCCAATAGATGAAAAAATGAGAATAATTTCTCAACCTGCAATAATTATGTGATAGCCCCCCCTCCCCCTCCCCCCCC